AATGTTCCCGGACAACGGGGGCATCGTACTTCTACCTTTGAGGTCCGCGAAATGAATGAAATACAATGTCCACCGGCAGGGGTGATGGGGATATCATAGTCGTGCTACCGAATCCTCCCGCTCTCGCCCGCGACTCTGTTCCAAATGTTGGGAGATGAGTAAGAGGGAACTGATAGATCGAGATGGATGTCTCTAGCGCTGCGTTCAACTAAGCTTCAACCAAGCCCCGATTCACACGATCCCCAAAATGATTTCGAGACACCCGCAGGAATCAGAGGGCGCATTATTTTTTTTATAACTTGTAATCAGTGTGCCTACTGCGAAGCTCCATGTGAACGAATAGGCACATCAACTTGGGTGGGTTCATCACTGATAAATCAGTGTAGAATCATGTAAAGCTCTACGTAGATGAAAGAAGACGTTACCCACCTTTCCGAAGGTTAGCGTTCTTCTGGGCCTTCCGTCCCGGCGCGGAGGGCGCTTCACGGTATATCCCGGCAGGTACGTCTGTACCGTCTGGCTCACGGCTTCCCCAATGGGGCAGAAGAGCAGGAACACGCCGTAAAGGATCTGGTGACGGGAGGCCGACAAAAAGGGAAGGGGCTTAGGGTATTGTCATGCCGTCGCAGTCTTTCAACCAATGATGAAGCATCCCTGCAAGCCGAGAAGAAGCGATATTGCCGGGTCGTCGTCAGCCCAGGATAAGCTTGAGTCTCACAAAAAGGGGGGGCGGTTGAGAGAACCGAGCCGGGGAAACGGAGGAGGACATGCAGCCCAGAGAAATACCGATGAAAAAAATAGAAAATGGGTGCTGGGAACACCTGAACGGATAGCCGGGAACATCATCCACCTCACCGGCGCTGCACCACTACCATCAACACCAACACCGTCACCATGTCCCAAATGGGTGTTGCCATCATCATCATCGCAACCACCAACACCAACATCAACTGCTGCCAGCAACGGCATCAACACGTCCGACACCATCAGCAGCAATACCAGCTAGCTGCCGATACGAAAGTCGAACACGGCCGGGCTGCAACTTTGCCAAGAGACGGCCACCTAAGAAATACCACCACCGTCACTACCAACACCGACAACAATCGAGACGGGCAACCGACACACGCCAAACAAAAAAACAACAGAGCGACAACCAACAGCGACGACCTTTACGCTCAAATACAACCGAAAACAGCAGCAGCAACAACAACAACAATAACAGCAGCAGCAGCAATAGATAGCATAAAAAAAAAACGACAAGAACATTCTTGCGCAGGGCGACAACAAGCCAACACACCTGGTGCGCGGCCAGCGCGACCGTGTCGCATCCCGATGCCGCAACCGTAACAGCGACGCACGTGGCCACCTGCCCCGACAAGGCCAGGCACGTAGGGGCTCCGAGCTGGAGGAAGGTCTTGAGCTCCTTGCGGTAAGGGAAGAAGGACACCTGTCCGCTCTTCTGCAGATCCGGCCAGAACTGTCGACATTTTTTTTTTCCCGTTTTCGGCGTTAAAAATGGTTGTTTGGGGGTTTGGTTTCAATTCAGTTTCAATTCAAGCTCGAAATACAACTGTGTGTGTTTCAATTCAGTTTCAATTCAAAGCTCGAATTACAGTTGTGTGTGTTTTCTCCTTGGTTTGCGTTCTTGGTTTATGGTTTTTTCGGTCTTGGGGACGCCAGATCATATTATTAGGAAAAACAACATTTGTTGACCAAGTATACACACGTTAGGGTGAGGGTTTGAACTTGTCGATCCTCGTCCCGCCCGGGGGGGGACCCTGCATGCTAGAAAACACATTTCTGCTCAGGCGGTTGTTGTTGGGCGACCGGCCAGCGCAGCCGTGATGCCGCCGACACGCACCTCTCGACAGAAACATACATTTCGACCCCCCCCCCCC